CCCCCCCCCTGGAATGAGACGTTTGATTCCGTCCCAGACACGTTTACTCGAAATATTTTTTCCATACACAACATCGCTTTTCCGATTGATCTATAATAGCATAGTTAGCGGCAAAAATCCACGGAATAAAAACAAAACTTTGCCGATGAAAGGCGCCATAGATCTATTCTCGCTGATCATGACTCATGTTTTATGTTTCACATCGGCATGCTTGGCACCAACATATTGCAATAAACTTAAAGCTGCGACCATGAAATCAAATCACGGGCCCTTACATTGCTTTAAACCAACGCAATCTTGTTATATTCACACGTGCAGGTCGTGTAACATTAGTCGTGAACAAGCCATTGCTTCACGTGTCCGACATGAACGAAATTTCAAGAGGAGTATACAGCCATGGGAATCACAAAGATACAAATGTGAACACGCTACAAAAAGATAAAATGTCATCCCCTTTCAGTTAAAACAAACAAAACTGGTATTGAAAAAAGATATTGAAATCCTTTGTTGACATTGTCGATGGCACACAGCTACCAGCTACTGGTATTACAGTAAGATAGCACAGTGGAGTCAGCATCAGATCCGCGCAACCGCAAGTTGGCATATTCATCCACTTTCTATGCCTCCAGCACATATACATATACACCCAAGCACGCATACATTATACACATGGACCTAAGGTACGTCTATAAAATAGGTGTTAATAGGACATCCAACAAAGAAAACCAAACAAAATACACTTTTTAAGACCCGGGTTCCAACACAAACCCGATCCGTATGTAGGTATTCGGGTAATGTTGACATCCTTAATAACTTGAATGTGAAATTTGAAAAATATCTCAAGATCCTTAACTCAATCTTGAACAACCGTCCCAAGAATAACGTTTGTTCTATCCGAACTACAAGTGTACTTTACTCTACCACATACCAAACTGAAGGAACGCATTCGTTCCCTTATTAGGAGAGCTTTCTCCAAGAAAGTCGAACGGCGATACTAATATATGGTTGTAAGGTACTACTTATGAGCTTACTTTATCCAAAACCACGACAAAGGGAAATATAAATAAGTTTATAATGAAAATGAAAATGTGAGAATGATTGAGTTACTGATTAGCAATACATTTATTTTGGTATCGATGGCAAGATTTTCCAGCAGCTTTTATCCGTGAGCTTATAATGACAGGTAACAAAGATCTTGTCAAGTATTTCAATGTCAATTCATATTCACTTAAGATAATATACAACATTTGATATAACGCCCTTTCCAGCTAGAATAAGCAATTCTAAAAAGCTTCACTGTACATAGATATACATCATGAAAATTGGTTTTACTTCAAAAACCTCAATTTTGACAATCAATACAATTAGCATATACATTAAGCAATACAATGTGAGGAATTCGCAGGAGCTGCCTTATCGGGCGCTAACTACTAGTCCTATGTCACATGGCTAATCTCTCCCTATGTGTGTATGCCTGCGTGTGTGCGGGAGATGTATCGTGTGTAAGATTTGAAATAATAAGAAACAAGTTTGCGACGTTGATTTGATATACCATTCTGCACTTGGGGGCCAGGGACACTACGGATCCTTCTACACGAGTGTCGCTTAAGACGGCATATTATTTATTATCTTATACACTTTCCGGCGGTGTCTCCCTGGACACCCGTCCTCAAATGGAACCGGATGTTGCGAGTATATTAAACATGTGGTCCTGCCAGGGACGTGCCAGGTTTTGGTGGTTGAGGAAAGCCGGAGTGCCCGGAGAAAAAACCCCGACCTGTGGTCAGCAGCTGGCGACTGACCCACCTTGGCCTGTAACACGTAAACCGTTGGTGGAGCGCTAGTGATCGTAGTCGGTCAGACGTTTAACCACTCGGTCATCCGGACCCTAAACAAAAGGATAGAGCTCACTACTAAGCGTTATGATAAGCATGATGTTTTGTATTTTCAATTTTTGCTGGTAACACCACGGTGTTTTAATGTCATAGTTGAGTTAATATTCACGATCTAGCTGCAAACAGGTTTTCGAAAGATTAAATGAGCGTCTTATACCAAAATCGTATTAAAGCCTTTTTTTGTTGTTTACTTCCACGTTTTCATTTAGTTTTATGGTTCAATATACAGATATTTGAAAGTTACTTCCTTGTTAGATGTATTTGATTACATTATTTCTAGTTAAGTTTCTGAAAAGTATAAAGATAACAAATATGATGACCGTTGGAACTATGAATGTGCTCCCTGTATAATCCAGGGGTCTAGCGACGAAATTCCGTAGCGGTGAAAAAAATGTATTTTTTGGTAGATATATCTTTGCTATGTGAGCAAAACACTGAATGGGTTAGTATTCATCTTCGCTGGAGACGAAGTTGGAGACTGCATTAAAGGAAAAAACAAAAGTTGAAAATATAGGGTGAATGACACAATGTACCCAAATTTAGTACATTCTCGGTCATAGGAGAATACGTACTTAAGATGTGAGCAACGGGCGAATATTGTCAAGGGGGTCATTCATCATTAGCATATAAACACATTCGACATATATTCGGCTGACCATTCTATATACATAATTTAATATACAGTGTATGCATTCGCATAAGTTAGGTGTATTTATCTCTATATTAACTGTTAAGTAGATGCGTTGACTGACAATTGTTGTCCTAGTTAATGACTTTAAACTAATAACTTAATCAAACAAGTTAAAAGTAAAAATGTTGAAGCAGCCCTCGTAGTAATTGATGATTAAAGTAAAGCAAGTTTGAAAAGTGCTCCCCTATACGCACTTTATACTTTTTACAATCTAGATATGATAGCTTTGTTAAGCCGACGATAAAAAAGTCAGCTTGTGATGCAAACATGTACCGAGAAATGGCAATCTAGCCTCTTAGACACTGCTTGGATTATGTAACACCTGGATCAATAGTGACTGGAATCAAAGGATCGACGGTAAATATATTTGGAACAGAACTGCGAACAACCCTATAATACATACACGATTGTGGTTTCGTTTTCCTACTGTTTATACTTCCACTTTTCACTGATGTAGTGGTTTAATCATTGTACTACTTTTTAACACCATTTATGAATGGCTTTACTCCTAAAGTGGTGCTCCTACAGATTTAAACTTGCAGCACGTACATTATATCATACATTCATTGCAACGGAACACCTATTATTGTACGTAAAGTCATTTCCGTCGACAGTAAGATTGAACTGTAAACAAGTACACAAATCTAATACACAGACTTTATGCTTTGGTTTAAGACTGCTTTTTGGACTATCTGTAAGCAGCTGAGGGGCATATATTTTCCTATATTCTTGAATAAGAGATTTTGGTACACACAGCAGAAATTCCTATTCCGACTGTTCAAAAGACGTTTAACCCGATTAACCCATTGACAATTATCATGATTGCTGATTGAGGGTAGCAAACTCCTTTCAATAATCAGTGTAAAGTAATTTGTATTACTGATAGCGTGAACAATTCAACATCAATGATAGTAGGGGTAATAAAAAGGCAGAAAATCACAAAAAATATGCTGAAAAAAATACTTCTGTACTGACATATTTATTGACTCGATATCTACTGTAAAAGTACTTACAAAAACACTTTCATATTTTTAGTGCTCAAAAGCACATCGATGATCTGTTAAATCATTAACCAACTGTTTCCATCTGCAAATAATGTTTATGGAAAACACTATTTTTATAGTTTGCGTTGTATAAAAGCAAGCGCAACATGCATAATACAACTTAAGGCTCTTAAATATAAATATTTTTGCCCTATTCTTTGATGACTTACAGAAATCATTTATACATTATTTACAATACGCGTTCCTGCATATCGTTTCGTTAATTTTACAGAAGACATACTGATATACTGCACTCCGTAAATTATTCGACCATATGGTTATCCAACTTGGCTGCAAAGACGATTTCTTTCCAATTTGTGGAATCAGTTCTCATTCTCCTTGTCACGCCCCATTGTGTGACAACACTAAAGGAAAAGGTGAGGTTAACTTGTTACATAACAGAGGAGCCATACACTGCAAACAAAGATGGGGAAATACAAAACACGGACTAAAAGACTTGAAGGAAATAATGAGGCAAGTATTGGCTTGGAATTTTGAATTCAAACAATTGAAAAAAGGGAAGTACAGCTAAGTACCTCATGAGCCATACAAAATGTACGACTGCGCCAAGGCAGCTTTAAACAACCCAGCATTAAAATTGATTTTTAGCATCATTTTTATGATATTATTGTATATATATAGAATCGAAATGAAGTCGAATTAGGACGAAGTATGAATGTCTAAAGGCATATTTAAATATCAATGTATGAAATAAATTAAACAACAAGGAATTCAATAAAAACACGACTTAATAAACACATTTTAGTGT